TATTTTAAAACTGATATTATTATTATTAAAGTGTTCCACACAATTAAAATGTCAGTGCTTAGTTCGGTTTGTACAACTTTGCATATGTACTGCTGCCACTAACAGAAGCTAAAATTGTTTACTATTTATTACACATAATTTTCAATTACTTATTTATTTACTCCATTACTATTTCAGACATTCCTCGGGTCCTTTTATTCCAAGCCCGCCATATATTTGAAGCAATTTTCAATTTATACAATAGCAACATATTAAAGGAAACCAAACAACTTCAATGCATGCACACTGTGCCAAGGATGAAAACTAAATTCCTTATACTGCTCCTAATAATTCCACTCTACAAATTGTAAGCCTGTATGTAACAGAACCGCATTTAGGTTTATAAGGTTACTGTGAGATCACAAAGCCACACCAGGAGATTTAAAGAATTAATAAAGTTGCCCTTGTTGTGCCACATGTGTAAATTGCGCAACGAACCCTCTCAATCTGGAAAGACACCGGTATGACTCTGCTGATGTGTGAATCATGTGAATTGCCAGAGCAAAAATAATGAAATAAGGAGAAAACTGGTTCCGGTTTACGTTTTCGGTCATTGTGAGTCTGAAAGCAGAGTTTCCATTCAAGTTACTGAAGGAGACAGAGCTAAACTGTGGCTACTCACGATAATGGCAGCCTAACAATACCAAACATACCTGCAACTAAGCGAAACGCCAACAAAATCCCGCATTTTCTCCTTTTTTGTCCTTTTATCTGCAACACACTTCTCTTTTTGAGGACATTTCATTCTTAAATGCCAGGAGCCGTAGTTTACCTGCTGAGGCCTGCTAGGTGCCATCCAAACAAAGGTTGTGTGTTGTATTTCTTTTAAAATTCTATGAATAAGACTATTATTTTATTTACTTTTTAAAATCCCATTTTAATTACTGGTGCCCCTGTCACACACCTAGCCTGTACAAGCACACAGCGCGTGACATGCCTGCAGGCGTGTGCCCGCCTGCCTCTGCAGTGCTGTCAGCTAGGCTGAATGCTGCCGCCATTACAATGACTGTCCTAACAAGCTGATGTGTAGTAAAATGTTCATCGTTTTCGCCATCTTGCTTAAGTATGTTAACATTTGCTAGCTAGGATTAAACACGACGTGGAGCAAAGGCTGATGGGAATGACATTATTTTTGCATAGGCTGAAGACGGGTGACAAATTAAAATAAAACCCAACATAAAAAGTGTGTTAGTAAAGTGTTGGGCCGCCGTGGGCTTCCATGTGCTGTCCTATAGGAGTTTAGTTGGGTTGGGATCAGGTGAGTGTGAAGGCCATAGCATGCATTCATGATTTCCATCCTTATCAAACCATAAGGTGACCCCCCTCTCCTGCTGTATGGATGGGGGCATCAGCCATCCTGCAAGAGTCCACTCATTGATTCAGGTTTTTCCTTTAGTATGTCTAATATGTCTGCAGGCTGTGACCATGAATATCAGTCATTGCTTTTATCTATATTATTTGTATCTAACTAATTGAACTGTTTATGCATTAATGTGACCCATTTAAAGTTAGATATATTTTTAAATCAAACCATGATTTTATTTTAATTAGCTGAGTTTTTCCACATACAGCCTCATGGTGTCCCCTGGTTTACAAGTATCTTTGGTTGGGAAGAGTTGATTTCAGATGGGTGTGAGCGTCCAGTTTTGCAAATAGGATATCATGTGGGTTGTCCATGTATGTGTGCATGTTCACCTCTCACACCAACGTTCAACATCCTTGATTTAACTTATTGCCTTGTCCACATGTCACACCCATGCTCATGAGATAAAAAACAAAAGGAAAAGAACAAACACAGAGGATGTTACTGCGTGGCTTAGAGAGAAGTGAACAGGGAACGGCACAGACACACACGCTTCTATGTACATGTGCACACCCATTTTCATAAGTCAAAAGAACTCTGATTTTCTTTTCTCTCAAAAACAGGGAGCAGTTCTTCCACAAAAAGGAGGCCCACTGTTTGTTTGTGCATTTGTCTGTAAATGTGTGCATGCTGAGATAAAAGTAAAAGAGTATTCCTGGCCATATGTGAGATAAGCTGGAATTCTGGTATAAAGTGTGGTGTTGCTTTATGGTAACAGTGTTTCAAACAAATCATTGTAAATGTTCCTAACATAAAACATTACTGTAGGGCTCAGAAATGTCTGGAAGCACGTCATTGCATAACTTTGCAGAGATTAGTTATGTTGTCCAAATGTTGCCCTTTGTGAAGTAATGGCCTGGTGCTTTTCTACAGAGTTTATAGCTATAGATATGCATTGCAGCATTAACTTAATGGATCATTGTCTTCTAGAAACAGTGTACTGCTCCTGTGCTTATTTGCTCAGCTCTGCGCATGGTTGATTTTTTGCCATTGAGGTGTGGCTGTTGTTGCCTTTGAAGAACAGTTTCAGCTTTGAGCAATTGAGACGAACAAGTCTTATGATGTGTGAGCATGTAAACAGAAGGACACCTTTCCAAACTTTACGCTGCTTGTTTTGCACCTTTTTAATGTTCAGTGTCACCAAACAATCTCACAGTAAACATACTGTTCTTTATTGCTCAGAATGGCCAAGTTTATGCACAGTAACTCATTCTTAAACTGATGAGGTAAATATAAATTTAAAACTTCATCACTCAATGATTAGGCCTTAATCAAGGCCACAGTAGGTGTTGGAGATCAAAATAAAGATAAGCAGAAGAATAAGGGTAGGACAAATAAACTGTGGATTGTGCAATAGTAAAAAAAAAATAATAATAGAGAGATGTCCCAAATATTTTGCACATCTAGTGCATGTTTTTACAAATTCACTAACTTCTGCCAGTCACTACTCTGTGGCAGGTCACTCTAGTTGAACACAAGGATATGTGGAAATAGGTGTGTTTTCTGGTCTTAGGTGTGTCAGCCAGTGTGAACCAGCACAAATAGCTTGGCTCAGATGTGCGATGAGTCACAGCCCATGACTACAATGAAAACAGGGCAGCTCAGACTGTAGAGGGGAGGATTAGATGCATGGATGGTTGAATGTGTGCATGTGTGTGCTTGTTTGTGTACATTATTGTCTCCTGTAGCATAAAGGAAGTCACATGGCACTGGTCTGGGTAAATCTATAACTAGTGATACAGTTAAGAAAAAGTGACACCACACCTGGATTGCATTATTTCAGTCCTGTTAGTCTGTTTGAGCAACTGTCTGGCTCAGCCTATAGACATAGGAGTCAGATATGGGTGGGAATTGCACATTTGATTGTGCAACATTAGTTTAATCAAATAAAGAACTACCTAAACCTCCATCCATCCATCCATTATCACTACCGCTTATCCTGAATTGGATCACAGGGGGTGGGGTGGGGGTAACACCCTGGGCAGGTCGCTACTTTGTCACAGGACACTTAAAGACCAACACTACCTG